ATGAGCCATTTCTGAAGTGTTATATTATAACATAGACATAGCATCAGTGAAGTCCTCATCCTTTTATCTCTGTAATAAAAAGTATCTTTCAGCTAACATTATGTGCACTACTCGCACTTATTTTCCACAAATGCAAAGAAACGTTCAACTTAATGAATTTAATGAGAAAGGTATGATTTAACAAAACACTTGTAGAAAAACATGCTGTACTCGGTTAGTAATATCAAATAGCATAGAATTCCATCTGTTTCATTTGAAAGAAACCAAAGAGCAATTAGAAAAGGATAATATTCTAAATAAGAGTAGGGACATGTTTTCACCTTCTTAGATTTCAAATAAAATAATATTTTCGATCGTTTGCATACGCCCTGTTAAATTGTTTTTCAATATTGTAAAAAGCTTTTTCTCTAATTAGTTTTTAGTAGGATCTCACTTTAATCTAGTGTTCGTCTAAAAAAACAAATATTTTTATTTCTCATTTCAAACATTATAGTCTAACTACATTGAGTACGTATTTTTTAGAACGATTAATTTGTATTTGTCTTTGCAATATATAAAATAAGTTCATTTTTTTATGTTCATAATTCATTCGAAATATTTTTCTAAAACTTCTGCATATACAAAAAGCATCTTTTTTCTTAATTCATTTTAGCTCGAATATCTCAAGATATTCGAAATGATGTAGTTATTTCACGTAAAAATCGTTATCCTATTGCAGTTGCACAACATCGGTCTGTCACTCATCAACGAAGCACAATGGCCTCGTCCAAGACACGTTCCATGTTTAATTCGCATCGAGTCTACACAGAACCAAACGATGTACGATCAATGACACCATCACCATTGCCAGTGGCATCACAAAAGGAAACCCATCGTTTATCCTTGGTACTACCACCATCGACAGCAGAGTCAACTCCACGTAAAAATCATCGGACTGATGAAGATGGATGGATTCCACCAACGGTGCAAATGTTGGTATTAAGACCCTTGAATACCGTAGAAATAAGAACAAGATGTATTTTTCTCCGTGTTGGAGAAATCGACACACTTAAGTAGGCTATTCTGAGGACTTAATCGATACTAACTACTAATTGTACTTGTGTTTAGTGAACGATTTTATGCTGAAATATTATTCGAGGCTAGTTGGAACGATATTCAACTACAAAATGAGACATGTTATAATTCATCACTTCATTGGAATCCGAAATTAATTATTTTGAACAGTGTTGGAGATATTAAACACGAGATTTCCTATTCGATTGAGAATAATAAAGATGAAACAAATATTCCAGAAGTCACAGAACATCACAGAATTCGAGGAATGTTTTGGGAACGAATGGAATTGTACTATGTAAGTCATCGTGGACTCGTTATGAATGAAAAATTTGAAAACTATAGATTTTAATTTTAGTTTCCTGCCGATGTACAGGAACTGTCATTATCCATCACAACAAGTCGTAATGATAATGAATTAAGATTTTTTCAAAATCAGTATAAACCAAGTGGAGTTATCCGAACAATATTTACTGATGAACAAGAGTGGTATTTGTATGAACATTGTGAAATACACATTCAAGCAGAAATTGAAGAATTTTCGGATGATGGTGATCGAGTAAAACGTGCTATTGTCGTATGTACATGTCATGTAGCAAGGTGAGAGTCACTTTTGAGTCTCAGATAATAACTTTAGAGAAGGCTGGTTTCATTTTAGAAAGTATGGCTATTTTTTGTGGAATTTATATTTTCTCATATTTTTGATAACATCAGCTAGTTTTTGTACATTTGCCATTCCAATATCAAAGTAAGTTGCAAATGACTAGAATAAAGTGATACATATCAAGTCTTATTTATGCATTTATCTTAGTACACAAGGACGAGTACAAGTTTCCTGCACATTACTTTTAACCTCAGTTACATTTCGATGGACCGCCAACAAATCATTGCCGTAAGTGTTGAAATGGTAATGCTCATGTTTAGCTTGTAGTAATGATTTGTTTTTAGTACAATTTCATATCTGACAGCTGTCGATGTTTATGCGATCGGATCCATATTTGCCCTATGTCTGTTAAACATCTATCACGGGATAATTGGCTATATCAATTATTATACGAGTACAAACGTGAGCACAACTTCATCAGGCACAGTCGCTCAGTTTTATCTTGTTGTCATTGATCGGTATACACTCATAGTGTTCACAGCACTTTATTTCATCTATCAGGCACTTATTATATATTGGATGTGGAATGGTCCATGGAAAAGACGTCGACTAATGTGTAAAAAAGATTCAGATAAAAAACGTAACTATTTTAGAGATGGACAACAACGGCAACAAATCCAACGAGAAAAGCATCCACCACCACTTCTTACGAGTAAATCTGTTGATATCAAAACAACAACATCAACAGTTGTTCAAGACTTAGAATAAAAGTGTATTGCAACCTGCTTGTTATGCTCATTCAATGTTGTGAATTAAAAACTAAAAACAGTCGTTTGTTTCGATTTTTAGGACTCTAAAAGTGTATTTTTATCGGTTTGTTCAACTAAAAATGTATGTTTTTCAAAATATTTTATTAATCATTCACCTTGAAAAATAAGTCGCACGATAAACTGCTAAAAGTAGTTACTAATGCTCGAGATAGGTTGTACCGATTGACTCTTTTGACTTTTAATGACAAAAAG